CAGTGAATGTGTCCCTTCACCCCAACGGCTTGAAACCTTGGCAGGGAATGTGTCCGTCACCCCAACGGCTTGAAACCTTGGCAGTAATTGTGTCCGTCACCCCAACGTCTTGAGTCCTTGGCAGTGATTGTGTCCTTTCACCCCAATGGCTTGAATCCTTGGCAGTGATTGTGTCCCTTCACCCCAACGGCTTGAAACCTTGGCAGTGAATGTGTCCGTCACCCCAACGGCTTGAGTCCTTGGCAGTGATTGTGTCCTTTCACCCCAATGGCTTGAATCCTTGGCAGTGACCGTGTCCGTCACCCCAACGGGTTGAAACCTTGGCAGTGACCGTGTCCGTCACCCCAACAGCTTGAAACCTTGGCAGTGACCGTGTCCGTCACCCCAACGGCTTGAAACCTTGGCAAGGGGCTTTCGTCACTTTCTTTATATTAGGACATTTTGCCTCAACTAAACCCCCCCCCCTTTTTTCCCCTCTTTTTTTTTTTTTTTTAGGAAGCATGGAAAAGACACTCGAATATCTTCGACGTGACGAGAGGAATGTATTGGATAAATCTGGTCCAAAAATAATTCGGCACAAACCTATCACTGCTTTATTGTCACCTACCGAGTTGGACCCCTACATCCCTTTACATACGACTTCTGAAGACTTGATCTATACAGGAATTCGAAATTGCTATGAGATTCTCGAGAAAGGGCACTCCAAATCAATTGGTTCATTCCCTGTCTCAATCCTTCGTCCATTTTCTGAAGACCTTCACTGCTCCGAATTTAATACTTTTCTTAAGAGAATGAAGCATGAAAAACTAAAGTGGGATAATTCTTTTAATGTTCGTGGCATTTCTACCCATTTGCAATCCCCTATATGGATTTTTTGGTTGAATGACGTTCTTTCCACATTTGCCCCTATTTTGAAGAAGTGTGGGATTTATGCTGCAATCTATGTATCCCAATTTGCTTATGCTAGGAATGTTTCCCTCCTCAAAGGATTCTTAGAGCGGTGGTCACCCGACACCAACACTTTCCACACCATTTACGGCGAACTTGGGATCTCTCTATGGGACCTTCATCGCATTAGCGGGCTTCCCATTTGTGGCGAGTTTTATGAAGAGGTCACCCCCTCCAATGACATTTTATATTCGTCCCAGACATCCAAGGCGTGCCGTGGGCTTTTCAACGTTTATGCTAGCTCTTGTCAATCCAAGAAGTTTAACCACTGGACTTTCAAATTCATTGACGAATCCCCAACTTCAATTAGTGGTTTTCAACGAAAAGACAGGATCCCTGATGATGTGTATCTTTCTGGTTTTTTGGCGAGCTGGCTTAGCGGATTTGTCTTCCCTCACTCTTCCGGGGAGATTCGTCCGACGACCTTTCATGTTGCCACCAAAATGGCAGGTGGAACCTTATTTAGCCTGGCCATCCCCGTCCTTGCATACCTCTATCATTGTCTTGGTAAAATGGCATCATCATCTTCACTAGGGAAGGAAAATATTCAGGGTCCTTTACATTACCTCTTTGGATGGATTTCACTATATTTTGTCAAGACTTACTCTCATGGGGACCCTCAGTCGATTTGTCCGATTCCTGATATTCATTTCATGCCATATATTGGGTTTATTGGAAACCAATCGGCTGCCCAGTTTTTTTCTGATAAATTTCCATTTGTGGACTCTCTCCTAACTTATCGTACGGAGTGTCAGTTTAGGGCTCTTACTCATGAAAGTGAACCTTCAGGCATTCTGGTCGACTCTGAAAGGATATCACCTTTCCACCTTGGATATCTTATATCTTTGAGGCAAGGGATTTTAACTTTTAAAATGGGATTTAATTTCATTTCTGAACCGTACTCCCCTAACCGATACAGTCGTCAATTTGGGTTTTCTCAAGCATGCCCTATACCGCTTAATGTATCTTGTCGGCAGCCCTCTGAGTGGTCTAAATTTTATTACAACTGGCGCCATATGCTACGCTGCGGTACAAAAGTCTCATTGGAGTTACCAGGCTCCCGATCTACTTCTCACGTAACCATGCCTTATGCCAATTGGTGGTTGGGAACTTCCTTTACCGTGCTCCAATATGTTACTCATTTCCAGCCGAAATCTTCACGTAGGAGAAAATTGGATATGCCAATTAAAGACCGAAAGACGAAGAATCCTTCTTACTCTAGAGCTAGGTCATCATCCTCACCTATTGCTCTGGAAGCATCATCACCTCAAAGAATGGATAATAGTCGACCACTTATTGCTCCTTCTCGGTCAAGTTACTCGGTTTCAGATCTCCTTCATCTTTTCGAAGATATGTGTAATTCTCAATTTAAAATGAGATTTAGCTTTGAGCAAGCAGATTCTGGTCCCCAATTTTCTAGTCTCGCAAAGCTTTTTCCAGAGACTATGTCTATCAGTGATTGCACAGGAACTTCCCAACCCACCGTAGCGACAAAAACCCCAATGGATCAATTTCGCACATACTTGTACTCTTTTCTTGAAGATAAAGATGAGAATATGATTCAAGAACTCTTTGAGGGAGATGGGTATGAATTAACTGCCTTGGGTCGTATTCGCATTAAGAGTGTTGAAATTCCTTCTCCTACCAAATCTTTTGATTGTTCTCTCAATGGAAGTAGCGAGAGTGAAGATGAGTTTTATGACTACACCCCTCTTTTAGATGGCACACCGACTAAGATGAGTAAATCACCTTCAGCAAATGTAGTTTTTTCTTTTCCTTCGAACGAGTCATCCAAGCTATTAGAGAAAGGTATAAAAAAAATTTATTTTTTTTATTTTTTTATTTTTTTATTTTATTTTATTTTTAATACCTTTCATTTTCTTAGGCACTGCGCCTCAAACTTCCCCAGCTGCCTCGCATATGCCATTGGCTACCTTTAAGGGTATTCTTATTCATTCCTTGTACCTCATTTTATTTCATCATGTATAGATACTCAAGGAA